GGTTCTCCTCCTCTTTGTCCTGTATGTGATCCTGTGTGTACATTAGCACCTCCTCTTTTCCATTCTCCATACTGGGGATGAGTGGAGGCATGGCAGGGAGGGTGGGGCTGAGCGGGGACTCCTGTGGGGTGGGCGGGGACAGGGTGGGCGGGGCCTTAGCCATGGCACAAGCCATTGCAGCAGCCAATGAGTGCGGAGTGTCGTAGAGGGCGGAGATGGCCGAGGAGATGCTCTTCTGCAGGTCCTGGTTCTTACTGACCGAGTCCTCCTCATCAGAGGAGAAAGACGGCAGCGTCTCCAGGTTCCTCTTCAGATCCTCGTCCAGTGGCTTGCAGCTGCTGAGAGCCAGGTCTGCCCCCTCACACTGCCCCCCCCTGCTAAATGTTCCTGCAGCCTGCTGTGGAAGAGTCGGTAGTAGAGCAGGAGGAAATGAGGATAAGGGCCTGATCCCCCCCTTCAGAGAGGAACACAGATCCAGGGACTCCTGCTCATGTCCGTCATGTCCGAGTTCAAGGCCTGACTGCTTTTTGCCTGTCTTCAGGAAGTCAAGAAAAGAGGTCATGAAGCCCGGTTTGAAGTCAAAGGACTTCTCATCAGCCTGCAAAAGGAAACAGAACCAAACTAATCACTGAGGAAGGCTATATTCTTCTCTACATTGCAAAAAACAGTTTCAACCAGTAAGCTTGTCTAATTTTCACTCCACACGACTGGATTCACAGATTTTTGATTTGTGTTTACCAGTAGATGGCAGCGGAGCCTGCGGTTCCCATAACTTTATTACGTTGTAAACAAAGTCATGGTTATGTAAATGTGAGCAAACAGAGGCCTATTCACACATAAAGCAGAAACATTGTTCATATAAAACATTGAATGTGCCACTTCTGTTGCCAGAGCTCGGGCGGGCCTACCTGAATGCGCGCGCAAGCCCACCGTATATAAGGCGGCCACGCCTCCTGACTGTCATCCTTTTCTCTTCAGCGAGCGAGCAACAACTGAAGCAGAGAAAGTAAAACGTTTGAAAGAAGAAGAAAGAGTTATCATACCTTCATGGAGTCGCTACTTCTAGAGACCCGGGCCTGTCCTTCATGCCCTGGCTTAATAGCGGGCGCCGATCCCCACCACCTCTGCTTCGAGTGTTTGGGGGACCAGGATATGGCCGAGGCAGTGCCATTCACGCTCGCCATTCCAGCAGGGCGGATGGCTCTGTTAGCCGGGGAGGAGGATGACGAGGACTTCTCGTTGTCGGGCACTTCCGGGTCTGGCGTCCATGGATGTCCACCGCCCAGGTCTGTACTTCCCCCTGGTGATGATCATGGCGGCGGAGCGTGGCAGCCCATCTGCTCCCAGCAGGCAGCAGGCTGGGCAGAGAGCCTCTGCCCCGCTGCCGCGTGACAGGGCGGCTGCAAATAAACACGGGTGTGTTGGGCGTCTCGCTCATTGCTCTTCCGCAAGATGCCCCTACCTCACCGGATCAGAGCGATTATTTGGCCGCAGCATCGGCCGAATGAATAGCTTGGTCTACGGTGTGGCCGCCGCTGCTTGCCGTGTGATGTCCCTGGGGGATCACGCCGCATAGCACTTTCCAAAAAGACCGTGATGATCTCCTGGGAGCCCCCGTGTCTACGGAAGGGCTCTTTGGATCGATTTCCTTGGTCACGTGGATGAGGAGTAGTCGCAGTTTGGCGTATGCTGCTTCTTGCTCATCCTCAGAGGACAGAACACTGTCCCACACTCGCCGCCCCGCTGTAACTCCAGTAAAGGAAGCAGCAGGTGGGCGCGCGCACGTGAGTGGGATAAACCGCAGAAAGTGCTGTCAAAGCACTGTGTGGGTTCAAGAGACGCTATTGCCGGCGTGTTGTTGTCAGAAAACACACCTTGCCTGGTGTTACGCCCCACCCTTAAAATGGCCCTATGGGGCTAACAAAATTCTACCACTGACCCAAATAGAACACGAAAGACACCTTTAAAATCATCAAATTCATAGGATTTATTATAACCAACACATCAAATGTTTAACTATCCATCCTAGGATGAGAGGCAGAAACACAGCAGTCCCCACACCAGAGGCCTCTCTTCTGCTGCTGCACTGGAGCTTTTAAGCACTTCCTTTTCCAGGTGCACCTCGTCTGAACCTCGTTACAGCAATGCAGCACACCTGGGTAGAGGAACCAAAGGGAAAAAGAAACCGTAATGTAACCGTAGTTCTAGAGTGATGTGTGTGTGAAAAATGCATTCAGTAAAAACGATTGCATTTATCTCAGAGTAAGAGTCATCTCTCTCCACAATTCCACATTTCCCCATAATGTCCGTTTCAAAGAGACGGCATTATGACGGAGCCGCGGCCCCACGAGAGCGTGCCGCGGAGCATTCAAGGACCTCAGTAGAAAATCGGCCTTTTCTGTGTCAGCCCCCCTTGGGCCAAACTTCCTTTTATGGAAGGTTTGGCAGCGGAGTAGGCCACCAGAGAGTACTACAGCTTCTTAGCTGCGGCTCCACAGCTGCTTGCATGTCCCCTAACACAGTCTTATGGGGAATGGAAGCTTAGCTGTGTACTGACGGAATGGATGGACAGGACACTGAGACTGGGTTACTCACTCCAGTTTTGCAGCGTCCCTCCTCCATTCAGGGGCATAAGAGAGGCAAATATATCAACCCAGGAGGATATTTCAACAGAGATTCAGGCCCTGTTGCAAAAACAGGCTGTGTCTGTTGTGCACTTTCAAGAGAGAGAAAAGGGGCTTTACTCCATGTACTTCCTGGTTCCCAAGAAGACAGGAGAATTCAGACCCATTCTGAATCTTCACAGCCTGAATCAGCACATTGCCTGCAAAAAGTTCCATATGTAAACCAATTACTGGAACTAGGGCAGCCGGGCGATTGGTTCACAACCATCGACCTGAAGGAAGCTTACTTTCATGTCGAAAATTACTCCAAAGCACAGAAAGTATTTGCGTTTTGCCTTCCAGGGGGTAGCCTACGAGTACAACAGACTACCGTTTGGCTACTCCCTATCCCCACGCACGTTCAGCAAATGTGTGGCCACAGCGCTTCAGCTGCTTCGCGACCATGGCATGAGGGTTTTATAATACGACCTCATAGTCATGGCCAGGTCCAGGGAAGAGGCAAACACAGCCCAATTGATCCAAGTGGATTGCGGTCAATTGGAAGAAGAGCAGTCCCATACCTCACCAGCAGGTCGGGTATCTGGGGATTTTGCTCGATGCAGGCAGACTACGTGCCACCCTGTCAGAGAGCAGACAGGCATCCCTGCTTCAGGCAGTTTGCAGACTGCGACAGGGGGCAACGGTGACAGCGTTGACCATCATGCAGACTCTGGGTCTCATGGCGGCTGCTGACCTCGTGGTACCGCTGGGGTTACTGCATATGCGTCGCCTGCAGAGGTGGTTTGCCGGCCTTCGTTTAGATCCCAAGAGGCACAAACAACGTCTGGTGACCATCCCCCCCCTCAGTGGAGGGGAACTCCGCTGGGGCGGGTGACCTCCTACGTCACGGTGTTCAAGATGCATCCGTGACAGGATGGGGGGGACCTGCCTAGAGAGAGCTATAGGTGGTGGTTGGCCTCTAACAGAAACTCGGCACATCAACCTTCTATAGCTACAGGCAGTAGTACTGCTCCTACAGCACTGCAAACCCTTACTACAGGGCAAACATGTGCTGGTGAGGAGCGGCAACCGCACCACAGTGGCTTACATCAACAGGCAGGACGGAGTCAGCTCTGCCGCCTTGTTTAGCGCAGCGGAGAACCTGTGGTTGTGGGCCTCAGAGAATGTTTTTATCTCTGAATTACATTCACATTCCGGGACTGGAGAACAGGGGGGCCGGCCTCATGTCAAGAGGCGGGCCCCTGCCAGACGAATGGTGGTTCTCCCTGGCTCGGCAGGACAATCCACCCTTGGGGGTTGGACACGTTTGCACACGAGCCATGGCCAAGATAGCTGCTCTACGCCTTTCCACCGCAGGTGCAATAGGGGCGTTACCCACTCTGGGCCAACCTCTCCAGGCTTGGCTCCTGAGAGGGACAGGCTGAGACGGGAGGGACTGTCTGACAAAGTTATTCAGACTATCCAGGCAGCAAGAGCAGGATTCACCACAGCCTGTTACAGGACGAAGTGGTTGGGATTCCAGCGGTGGTGTGAAGAAAGGAGTCTAGAGCCTCTATCATGTACGTTGGGCTCTATTCTGTTTTATTTACAGATAGTGGTGGACAGGGGGCTTGCTCATTCCACAATTAAGGTGTATGCAGCAGCCATCTCGTCCTGCCATGAGGGATTTGGCGGCAGGTCAGCCTTTAGTCAACCGCTTATGGCGCGTTTTTTTGCAGGGGGTCAGGAGACAGTGCCCAGTGGTGCATGTCTCCACCCCACAATGGGATCTGCCATTGGTGCTCGAGGCTCTAGTCACAGAACCATTTGAGCCTCTGGAGCTCTCCTCCCTGAAGGCACTATCATTGAAAACAGCTTTGCTGCTTGCCTTGACTTCGGCCAAGAGAGTGTGCGAGCTGACCGCTCTGTTGATGCACCCGAGTTGCCTTTTGATCCGGGGTGACCGTAGCGGGGCGACACTCAGACCGAACCCCTCCTTTGTTCCCAAGAACCTAAGGAGTTCGTTCAGGTCGAGGGCTATACAGTTAGACGGCTTTAGTCTTCCACCCCATATTGGGGACAGGGAGGCTAAATTGCACCTCCTCTGCCCGGTGCGTGTGCTGGCATGTTATGTAGGGCGCACGGCTTCCATTTGGCGCACTGAACAGCTGTTTGTGTGCTTTGGGGATGGTGTGGCCGGTAAAGCTCTGTCCAAGAAACGCCTGAGAGGATGGCTCTGCGAGTGCATTTCACATGCCTATGGACAGGCGGGGAGAGCCTTCCCCACTGGGGTCCGTGCACACTCTACATGTGGTATGGCTGGTATGACATATGCACGGCGGGGTCTTGGTCTACGCCAGGCCCCTTCATAAGGTTTTATCTCTTGGACATGTCTGGCTCCTTCTCATCGTCTGTGCTTGCTGGGGCAACACAGGACTGGTGAGGGGGGCTGTGGGTCAGTAGGTATCTGACCCCCCCTGGACATAATGCACTTATGTTTTCCCATGCTCCTTAGGGACCCGGGAAACATGGTGCGCAGTAAGCCCCATACAGGGCAGGCGGGGAGAGCCTTCCTCACTATTTTCCATGCACACTCTACACAAGGTAAGCGTGTGTGAGTGTGCTCTACCCAGCCAAGTAAGCTGCGGCCCTGACTTCTCCACGGTCTCACCCGGAGGAGAAGAAGTTGCGGTGCAGTGGCTGTTAACCAAAAGCCGGTCAGGGGCAGTGTGATGGGTCGATGTTGTTGGACGACAGGGCGTTTATCCATCAGGGCTCCACCCACTGTACCCATAGAGTCCAGTAGAGGGCGGAGCCTGTGTAAGATATAACGGGGGGTTACGTATTGTAACCCTAGTTATATAAGCACAGGCTCCGCCCTCTACCTGGGGCCCTGTCTGTCCTATGCCGCTCGCTGAAGAGGGTGTAGGATGACAGTCAGGAGGCGTGGCCGCCTTATATATGGTGGGCTTGCGTGCGCATTCAGTTAGGCCCGCCCCGAGGGGCCGGCTACGTTTATAGATATCTCAGTAGGTGAATGCTCGCATAGCATGATTGAGGGTAGTACCCATAGAGTCCAGTAGAGGGCTCCGCCTGTGCTTATATAACTAGGGTTACAATACGTAACACCCCGTTTCTGGAATCTGACAGACAGAACCCTCCAGGAGATGCTGCAGGACCTTTAACCTGTTAAGCCCTGAGCCTGTTTTTCAGGTCTCAGGCTCGAAAATGACATTCCCAGAACAAATTACCATATCTTTCCTTCTAAAAGGGTTAAATTAATAATCTTTTTTCTCAAAGTAATGATAAACCTGTGAGTTGGATGTAGAAAAGTCAGAATCAATATAGATGTTTTTTATTTTAAAGAAAATTCAGATTTTACATAGTAAAAAACTATAAATTATAGTGACAATTCTTTTTTACTTATAGTGAAAACTACCCTTGGATGATGGTAAAGTAGACTAAAAGCTTTAGGAATCCAAAGTACAACATATAATAAGTACCCTGTATCAAAATTGATGCAAAACAAGTGACATTTGACCTTTTTAGAGAGGTTTAGCCAAAAACACTCCACCTCTGAGGTGATTTGGGTGGAAATGTTTTTTTTTCCATATCTCTGGAACCCATTGGTCGATTTTGATGGTTGACACCTCTTTCTGACCGTTAGAGCCAATAGAATCGAAGGGGGAGTCTCCCACACACACTCATTGTGAAACAAAAAGGTGGGGGCTTTGCGCATGTCATTTTGCATTAGAGTGAAGCTACACTCTAGCTCTGACATCTAGAAACGGAAAAGCATGGATTATCAGTCTCATTGCTCATGGATTATCAGAGATCATTTCAAAGGGACACAGACACATTGGATTAACCTATGGATTAACTTCAGCAGCGTTTCTATCGTTTTAATGCCATTGAAGACCACTTTGGAGAGACTACAGAGCCAAGGTAAGCTTGTTAGCATCTTTAGCTTCCTAGCGCCAAATGTTTTGATGTCTGTTTTTGCTTATAACGTCGCGATTTAGTATAATTCAGTGATAATGAGGGTACCCATCGATTCTGTCACCTCACGATGTGAAACGATGTCATGGATGTGGAGAAAAGATAAATAATAAGGTTTTGTGAGTGATTTTCGGTGCAGTAATCTGTTAGCATTTTTCGCTCGTTGCTAATTCAGAGGCTCATTGTTAGCATTGTGGATTTTCTTTAAATTAAAAAAAAAAAAGATCAGTTAGATGAGTTTCTTCCCGTTACATGGATATAAAACATTCATAGTTTATTAAATGAACATGCCCTCAGACACTGTTTCCTGCAAGATGTTGCGGCAGTGCCCCGGTACCGGGGTCTCTCGGGCTTAACAGGTTAAGGGCTTCAACTAAATTACATTTATTTTTTGATAAACAATTTATTTGATTCCATCTGATCATCTGGTCTATACAAATTTAAAATATATCCGGTTTACTACTAAAATGTATGGAAGTTTTGCTTTAACCTGTTACGCACCGCCCCCCCGGTACCGGGCGGATAAACGCGTAATTTGCAGGAAACAACGTCTAAGGAATCTTGATATTTAATAAACTATGAATGTTTTATATCCATGTAACGGGAAGAAACTCAGCTAACTGATCTTTTAAAAAATAAAATCCAAAAAAAACCCACAATGCTAACACTCAGCCTCTGAATTAGCCACGAGCGAAAAAATGTAACCTAAAACTGCACCTAAACTCACTCATAACTCCCTTATTACTTATCCTAGATGCACAGCCAACCCCTCGATTAGCATCTCCTGGAGACACAGAATCTGTGTAAAAAACCTCAACACTCAGTGATAAACATTTGCGACGCTATAAATGAAAGCGTACATCAGAACATGTGGAGCTAGGTAGCTAGAAACGCTAACATGGCTTACCTTGGTCAAAAGTGATCTTCAATGGCATTAAAACGATAAAAAAACGATGCTGCAGTTAATCCATAGGTTAATCCAATGTGTCTGTGTCCTCTTTGAAATGATTTCTGATAATCCATAAGCAATAAAACTGCTTTTTCGTTTCCAAATGTCAGAGCTAGAGATAGGTCCACTCTGACGCAAAATTACATGCCCCACCTCTTCTCTTCACAATGTGTGTGTGTGGGGGACTCCCCCTTCGATTCTATTGGCTCTAACGGTCAGAAAGAGGTGTCAACCATCCAAATCGACCAAGGGGGGCCAGAGATATGGAAAAAAAACTATTTTCACCCAAATCACCTCAGAGGTGGAGTGGTTTTGGCTAAACCTCTCTAAAAAGGTCAAATGTCACTTGTTTTGCATCAATCTTGATACAGGGTACTTATTATATGTTGTACTTTGGATTCCTAAAGCTTTTAGTCTACTAACCCATCATCCAAGGGTAGTGTTCACTATAAGTAAAAAAGAATTTTTGGACGGACACTATAATTTACAGTTTTTTACTATGTAAAATCTGAATTTTCTTTAAAATAAAAAACATCTATATTGATTCTGACACTTCTACATCCAACTCACAGATGTAACCTTGCTTTGATAAAAGAAATTATTCATATAACCCTTTTAGAAGTTAAGTTGTAGTCATTTGTTTTGGGCATGTCATTTTCGAGCCTGAAACATGAAAAACAGGCTTGGTGCTTAACAGGTTAATGAAAATGGCAGATTTGGGATATTTAAATGTTTTGCAGAAATGCATGTTATTTAAAAAAACAATAGTTTAGATGTGTGGTTCATGTGGCTCAGTTTCATATATATCGGGTAAAGGTAATACAGCTTCACAGACAGCAGGTGGCAGCAAGTGTTCTGCACTGGGAGATGTAGTAACCGTGGCAACAGCTGCCCTGGTAACAGCCATCTCTCTCCTCTCTTTTGTCAGTCAGAAAGAACTGGCTGTCAGTCAACAATAACCTCCTTCTCTCTAAACCTCCAATCACTAAAAATGGCTGAGAATTCAGGTATTATCTTTTTGTTGCACTGGAGACTACGCCACTAAATCTATCTATATTTAGTTTGAGCTTAGCTGGGCAACATGCTACCTTTTTTACAAGGGCCTTCAGCAGCTGAGGTGTGAAGAAGGTAGAGGATGTGTTCTCTACACCGGCTGCAGTTTGAATGGATGAGGTCTGAATTATATATGAGGCTCTGGGCTTTGCTCATTTACTCAAGGGTGTGAAGCGACTTACTGAACTGGAGAGCTTCTGCACAGCATCCCAGGATTCAGGATTCAGTGGATCCTCAATTTCTTTCTTCCACGTCATCTGAGTTAAGATCAGAGAAAACAGCTTTTAAAAATTGGTTTACTTTAACTTTACATCAACAATGTAATGTGATCCCATTCAAGATGTGTACAGTTATCTGCATGATGTCATGGTCTGGGTTTCTTACAATCAGGGACACAATTATTTAGATTAAGATTAGGAATACAAATATTTAAACACAAAATGATAGGTGTTCAAATACTTAATAACCAAATTGTATATCAGTTTGGCTTCATTGGAAATCTAAGGTGTCACTTCAGTGATAACAGAGTCTGCAGATACATTGAACCTTACTGTTGCTGAGGCAACTAGATTTAATTTCCCTCCAACATGAAATACAAGCTGTCATGCACAATCCTCTGCAGCCCTTCTTTATGTACAGCTGCTTCTCCTGCACACCCTGACATGAAGAAGAAGGATCTGTTTCTACACATCATTCAGTACTCATTTTCTGCATGGATACAAAGCGTTCTCTGTCTTCTTTCCCACACAGTTCTGCTGCTGTTTCTTGAAAACAATGTGGAGGTTACATTAAAAGTAACTTTTTCAATAAGCAGTTTCTGAAGAGCATGTCTGCATGTATTCTGTAATACTTCAAAAAGAAAGTCACTCTGCTACTAGTCAAGAGAATAAATGTTGTCTTTGTCATGTTACATTTAAAACATTTTAATAATAAAAAAAATCTTTCAGTCAAATTCAAAACTGTTATGCCCTGTTTTCAATTATTAAATGTAGTTGAATATTATCAATAATAATAATAATAATAATAATACATGTTCCATTATTTCCGGTTACACAAAAACAATAACATCCTGTCAATCTGATTTTTCATACATATTTCCTGGATGAGCATAACACAAAACAAAATAAAAAAGGAAGCAGATTTTTGAAATTGAGACTCTAAATTGCATTTTTGAATAAATAAATACATTGTTCAGAAAAGTATATTTTGCCTCGGAATTCTGTCAAGAAATTCTACATGTTTGTCATCATGACCTTCCCCTCTGAAAAAGCAACTCCCCCTCAAGCTGTTGTGCGTAATAAGACAGAGAGATGAGAAACTCACAGCTTTGGTTACACATCCCACACTGCCACTCATTCACATTTACATGGTGAGATCTTCATTTAATTCATATGCAGCACTCACCATCATTACATACCATTGGAAAGTGAAATACTTGTCATTGAAACGCAAACAAATATCCCAACAAAGACAAGTCTATCATTATGAGAGAGAATTACTAGTGAGCAGTCAGACGTGGACACAGGACTGTAAACTATTTTTACCTCGACAGCTTTATGCTGATTCTTCATAATCTCCTCTGGAGTCAGGTTCACCTCACTCCTGTTGATGTCCATGGCGGAGCTGGGTCCAGGACTCAGGCCCAGAGAGGGAGCAGACCCCACCGACCCGTCGGACAGAACCGGCTCAGCGCTGGACAATGAGTCTGTCCTTAACAATGATTCTGATGGAGAAAGGGTGGGGACGGGCAGTTTGATCTGAGAGAGACGGATGTATGGGAAGGGGTTAGAAAGAAAAATAATGTGAAACATTTCTCTTGTTATAATTGCTGTAGTTTAGCTTTATAGGAGATATATGACAAAGGCCAGTAATGCTGATTGTTAATTCCCTCAGGGTGGTTTCACAGAGATATATTACAGTTATCTATAATGCTAGTCAGGAGTGCATGTAAATACTTTGAGCAGTGACTATGATTATGGAAGAACAGAGCCAGTACCTTGATAGGTGTGATTGGATCTTGCTGTGGCTGTTGGGGGGGCTGCTGTGGATGATGGTGCTGTTGCTGATGCGGTTGTTGGATAGGACAGGAGACATGCTGCTGCTGATGATGCAGTTGATGCTGTTGTTGTGGAGCTTGGTGGAGGTCTGCCTGCTGTCTGTGGTGTTGCTGTGGATGCTGCTGGACATGCTGCTGCTGGCTGAAGTGCTGCTGCTGATATGGAAGGCTTTGTGCTTTGTTCATATCGTGATGCATTGCAACACTCCCTTCCTCCTTCCTCCCACGGCCTCGACCCCGTCCTCTACCCTTCTTGCCTTCTCCAGCCACTGTTCCCATCAGCCCCCTGCAGTAGGGAGGCTCAGGAAGTGGACGTATGCGTGGTCTACCTCGTGGACGGGGAGGGCCTTCACGTTTTGGTTTAGTGGGTTTCCTGCCTCTTTTTTTTGGGCCTTCGTGGGGGAGGAGTTGCGGAGGGTGTGCTAGGGAAGAGTAGTTGGAAGGGAGGCAGAAGTCTATGTCACCCATCATTGGACTAAGCCCACTTACTCCTGATGAGCCACCAGCCTTCCTACAACTAGACACCAAGTCAGGCAGCAGGTCAGGAAGACGACGACTGTTCAGGCGAATATCAGCAGGACCATCAGCCTTATCCTCATCATCCTCAAACTCGTACTCCTGCGCATAGTTTTTCTTTGTTAGAGGTTGGGGATCACGCCGCTGTTTGAGCAAGTGGAATGAGCTTGTCTTCAGCAGTTTCTTGGGTCGAGAGGAACAAAATATAGGTGAGGTAAGACCAGGAGTCATTGAATTTCCACCCACTCCCACAGCACCGATCATCTTGTTGACTGAGCCATCCCCTTGTACTGCTGAACTCAGCCCCATAGTGGGGGTTTGGGATTGGATAAGGCCGAGCTGGTCAGTATTCACAGTGGAGGGAAGCTCATGGGACTTCATAGAGTCAAGGTCTAAGTGTAGGTTGCCATTTCCTGTTCCTGGATGGCTGTGGCAATACTGTCCATACCCTTGATCACTGTGGTGACCAAGCATCCCATAGCCCTCTCCAGCACCTCCTGTTTTTAAGCTCTCCTCTTGCCCCTGCCCATGGCCCTGGGCCAAGCTCTCCTGAGCAGTCTGTCCGGCCCCAGAATCCTCAGCACAGCTCGACTTGTATTCAGCCGAACAAAACATGTCTTCCATCTCAGGAAAGAAAGAGCGGTCTTCGTCGTGTAGGAGAGAATCTGGAAAGCAGATGGATGTTAGAGGCCCAAAGCGCTGCTGCTGCTGCTGCTGCTGCTGCTGAACTTGACTCTGTCCTGCTTTTCTCACTGGGCTGGCACTGTCAAACTGGTGCTGTTTCAGCTGGTCCAACTGGGAGTGAGACAGAGTTTCAGCGTCCCTTTGTTGGGGCTGATGCTGTTGTTGAGGAGTTCCCATGTTTGTAGCCATTCGGTGAGAGTGTGGGAGAGCTAATTGGGAGAGTGCCAGCTGATGGTGAGTGTGTGCCTGCTGTTGATGGTGGGCATGGGGGTGGACATGGGCCTCAGACTGGTTGAGGTGGTGCAGGTGAGAAGGGGTGGGCAAGCTCAAATCTGGTTCAGAGAGGAAGTCATGGAGATCGGAGGCTGTTTGTTGCGGAAGGTTGTGGGGAGTAATTCTGTGTTGCTGTCTATGCCTGTCTCCACCCCCTCCCTCCCCTCCAGCCCCTCTTACCCCTGTTCTGTCCAGAGCTCCTCCACTGCCTCTGCTGTTAGTCCCAGAAAGAGATTGGTCCAACATTTTTAGCGAAGACACTGAGTTCTGACTGGCTTGTGTTTGATCTCTTGGCTGGCCTCCAAGGCTGTAGTGGGTTTCCATAGCCTGGGCCTGGAGCTGGATCTGCAGCTGTGAGGACTGGTCCTGAGGGTGGGAATCCCCCCGGGTAGGCCCTGCTCCTCCTATTGATCCCAACAGAGCTTGCTGTGATGGAGCTTGCTGGGGGTCCATCTTAGTGCGGGTGGTGTGAGAAAGGACAGACTGCATCATGTGAGGAGGCTGGGCAGGGTCTGTTGGGGAATCTATCAGAGAGAGGGGGACCTGGCTTTGTAGAGCCCGCTGCAGATCTGGTGTGTTACACAAGTAGGCATTGTCATTGGCCTCTGAGGACTTCTTCAGCTCCATGTGAGGCTGGCTGTGGGAGAGGGGATGAGGAAGGCTGTGCTGAGTGTGTTGAGAGTGCTGTGTGTGCTGAGAGTGCCGGGGGTGCTGGGAGATCTGGGGATGCTGAGAATGTGAGGACACATGTGAGGTGTGATGGGTGTAAGGGTCCCCTCTTCCATAAAGGGCAACAGACCCCAAGGAGTCATGCTGGTGATGGGGGTTGGTAGTGTGAGAGTGGGAGAGAGGGTCGGTCAGCCCTTCAGGACCGGACTTTGTGGTAATCATCTCTGATTTGACCTGTTGCTGTTTCTTCCGTGATATTTCCAACTGACTGTTAATGCCACTGCCTGCCTCACTAATTGATGTTCCCGGACCTGAACTGCTGGGCATGGTGTTGGTACGAATGACACTGTGAAGGTGGTAGCGCTCTTCAGATATCTTGTTGATATCATAAGTCACCCCCTTGCCTTCCCCTTCCCTAGCCTGTGGGAGAGTCTGGGGCAGCTGCTGAGGAGGTGGGTGATGCTGGGACGGATGGGGAGTTGAGTTCTGTGCGTGTAGTAGATGATGGATAAGGAAATCCTCATCATTTTCTTCCTCATCTTGGGATCTATCAACCACCAGCATGTTGGTTTCTGTTTTTGGCTTGGGGGTTGTTGTGTGGTAGGACTGGTTCTGCGCTAGGTGTGTGTCAGGGAAACCTTGTGATGAGGACATAAAATTAGGCGAGAGAATGGAGGACATATATTTAGTAGCCCCTAAGCCCCCAGGGGACTGTGCAGGGCGAGCAGCAGCAGGAGAGTGCAATCCAGGGCGACTGGTGGTGGAACTGATGGAGGGTGATGGAATGGGCTCTGGCAGGTGGTAGGAGTCGTTGCCGCCATTACCAGCAATAGCAGCCCTGCTCCCTGATTCTGCAGATCCAACACCACTGCCTGATACGGTTCCACTTGACCCGCCAGCAGTGCCATACCCCAAGGAAGGACTGCCGGCTCTTCTTAGAGACGTTGGACCAAAGCTTGAGTCCCCAAAGACTATCTCTGCTGAAAAGGAACGTCCTCCTGAACCAATACCAGTGAAAGCCTTCCCTCCAGATCCCCCTGCTCCAGAGCTCAGGTCCTGGGCAAGAGGTGAGGTAAAGCCACCAAAAGAATGGGCCATATGTGCGGATGAAGGCTGGTTAGGAGAGTAGGCCTGGGCATGTTGGGAAGTGGTATGATCCGGTAGGCCCGTGCTGGATTTGGCACCAGGTGGAGAACCATAGGTGGAGAGGCTTTGTTTAGATGCTAGCTGTTGAACAAGGTTGGATGATACCAATGGTAGAGGGGGGGGGTGCCGGAGCTGATTGAAGTGGGGGCTGCTGACAAGAGGAAGAAGACAAGGAGCCAGTGCTCGTCTTTGAGCTAGAAGTAGACCCAGAAGAAGTGGGAGGGGCTGAGGGTGGAGTGTGTGGGGGCTGAGAGGTGGAGGATCCTGAGACTGAAGAGGAGTAGCCACTGTTGGAGCTGGAACTCTTGGCTACCTTAGTGCCAGAGGAGGGGGTTGAGGAGCTGGAGGTTGGGTAGGGGGTTTGGATCGTAGGTCGATACGTGTTGGACTCCAGCCGTGGTGAAGGCTTGGGGTTGGAGGAAGGGCTCTGCTCCCCCCCAGGACTGCAGGACACTCCAGTGTGCCGGTGGTGGCTGGCTATCTGCTGGTAGCTGGATGACCCCCCAAAGCTGGCATATTGCTCTGCTGTGGACTGGGATGGGGAGGAGCGTTGGTAATGCTTGATCACACTGTCCTGCCGGGAAACTGGCCTCTCTTGAGAAGGCTGAGTCAGGGGGGGGGCTGTGGGCAGCAGGGCTGGAGTGGAAGAGAACATGGAGGAGTTATAGAGCTGGGAGGACTGGCTGTGGAGCTGAGAGGACAACAGGTTGAACTGGGGAGATGGCAGGTGGCAACTGGAGGGGGTGGGAGGGGCCTGGGTCTGAGAAGGGCCCAGGACCTCCTGGGACCCTCGATAGGTGGAACTCTGGGATGACAGCAAACGATCAAAGCCCAAGCTGGTCTGGGAGGGTGTTTTGATGTGCAGCAGGGGATCATGGGGGGATAACAAACTGTTGGAGGAGGGGCTAAATGAAGGTGTGTCCTGCAGGGACAGTGAGGGGGTGAAGGGTCGTGTGGAGAAGGAGCCAGGATGTTGGTAAGCAGAGAGGGCAGAGGAGGGGGGGAAGGAGCTGGAACCAGGAAGGGCCCCTGAGATAAAGAGCTCCGCTGGGGCCGGCGTATGCATTGCTACAGGACACAACATTACATGGACAGTGTTGGTAAATGCAGGTCGGTATTCAAATTGAAAAACACAACAAATTGGTAGTTAGATTACCAACCCACTACTTTTTGGATAATTTTTGCAAATGTAATGACTATTTTCATAAATGTAATTATTACTTAGGATATATTTCAATTGTAACAAGAACTAACATCAAGCTATTAGGCGCGTTCACACCGGAGTACTTTTCCCACAATAGTTCATCAGAACTACGATATATTTGCGTTCACACCAAAAAGCCCCAGGAACCAAAGTAGTTCAAAATAGTTCATACGTCTGATTGGCTGTGCGGAATGCAAACCACGGGCCGTTTAACTCTGATTTTTTTTTTGGAGCGGCCATTGTATTTGCTGGCATTATTAGCCCAGCGCACCAACAAGAGTACTTTTGTGAAAGCAACTATTATGGCAACAATAAGAATACGAAAATCATCGGAGCGGTGGAGTGATGAGGATGTGTCGGCACGTCTGGCGATTTACTCGGAGGATGGGATCCAGCAGCTTCTACTGAAGGCAGTTTCCAACTGCAAAATGTATCAGCGTTGTTCGGTAAAGTTAGCCGACATGGGAATCTTCCACAGCGCACACTCATGCCGGGACAAAATAAAGAAACTAAAGCAGGACTACAAACAAATAAAAGACCATAATAACAAGAGTGGTAACGGCCGGAAGACCCGTAAATGGTATGGTCGATTGGATGCTCTGCTCGGCGACAGACCCTCATTCTCCGGCACTTGTGGTGAAACGGCGGATTCAGTGGCCTGTGAATTGTCCAACGACGACTACTACGAAGGTAAAATAAACTACATGCACTGCACTGTTTTAATCTGCACAATATTGGTCTCAGATGTACTTTTATTTGCTCAGTAGATCGAGCTAGCCATGCTAGCCAGAACTGGCTAACACTGCTAGCCAGTTCAGCCTAGCATGGCTAATAACATCATTCTCGGCCGCTATGAAAACGTTTTTGACTTGTGAATAAGTGTGTAATGTTTTCTGTAATTTGCTTCACTAACTCATGGCACTAATCGTGTGTTTCAGGCGAGGCAGGACAACTCTCTGGATTGGAAACAAGTGAGCTTTCCCCTCCGGATCACAACAGCAGCACTTTCTCGTCTCCTTTTCAACCATCCAAACGCAAAAGTACGTACAAACACACTGTAACTACTCTGGTCTTGAAAGAACGTTACGCATCGAACTGATGTCCACTAATCACGTTTATTTCCTTCTTGGTACAATTATGAAACACCGTGAAAATACATCGTTTACACTTTTAGCGCCCTTTTCACTCTCATAAACATCCGGGCTAGAGGTCACATGACTGCCGGTAAGAAAACTTATCATTTTTGGACAAAGTTCAAGCGTACATTAAGCACTCTAAACAAATATAAAACAATAAATAAGGGCACTTTGAGCGTCAGCTATTTTGATCTTCTACTTTACACCTGCATTTTGTACACTGTCCCTGTCTGCACCATGTCCAATGTTGTGTCTGTTGACAACCAACTAGGCGATTAAACTGATCTTGTATCTTGCTTATTGCGAGCTGATTAAATCCAACAGGCCTTCAATACAAAAATTAAGAAAAACTTGTCGTCGTTGATAAACTGTACAATGACTTATTGGGAGGCGTGTTGTGCAGTGATCTGGTGCGTTGGTGTTCGGATCAGGGGAGCACAGGTTCAAACCCCACTGCAGTCAGGATGTCGTTGTGTCCCTGGGCAAGACACTTCACCCCAAATTGCCTACACCTGGGAGAGTTCATTTTGTATTATTGTGATTATATATATGCCACTGTTATTAATACTGACACCTAACTTTGCACTAAGGTGTGTCTGCTGCTGAGCCTACCTATTGTTATTATATATATATATTGCCACTGTTATTATATTGTTTTGATACTACTGACACTTATTGATCTGCTGCTGATAAATAAAAGAGAACCTACATGGCAATTAAACAGATAATGTATCTTGCTTATTTCTCCTCTGACACTTTATCTTTACAGTGACCTGTGTAGCCTCCTATACATCACATGTAAGTGATTATACTGATACCATGTTTTCATCGGTTATAAACTGGCGAAGCTTTATTTATTGTGTCCCACCCCAAATATGTGGCTTTGAAAAAGATAATTTCATTGTATTTCAAAATGGCGTCCATCAACACAAACACTATTTATAGAAAGAGAAATGGTTAAGTTTGTAATTACCAGTGTTGTGAGTTCAATATTTTAATTAATTATAGTAAGGGAACATCTTAGGAGTTAGTGTACTGAGTTCCTCTCAGGAGGATATATAATAAAGGTGTGTTAACTGCTGAGCCTATTTACTGTGCAATACTTTTTTCCATGATCACAGTTTTATTCATTTAGATTATTATGGACCTCTAAAACACATCTGCCTCATCATTTGAGTTTTGACATACCACAACCAGCCAGCCAGTCTTAACTTTCATTGTTATCCTAACCCTCATAGAGAAAGAGATACAGACATGTGGTGTGTTGTCTTTTTTCACCTGTATGGTGCGGTTCTGGGCGACAACACACAGTGAAGATGATCTGCTGCACGGCACTAGCATCATGACTGTCTTTGTTTAAACCAGCAGCAGTGCAGCGGTACACAGACTAACCTGTGTGTGTGTAACGTAGTTCTTCAGGTGTGTATGCTTAACATGTATGTATTTATCACAGTAAAGATGGTATACAAAAGCTTTTTAAAGAGCTTTCAACCTCATCCCATTGTCTTTTACACACATTTAACATAATAATATACTCATATTAATATACAAATATACAGTATGAGTACTGTTTTGATACTGACATGTTATCTTTTCACTAAGGTGTGTCTGCACTATTGTAATTTTGTCTGTTGACTGTGGTAAATAAAAGAGAGAACCAAATGCACTGTACAAAAGATCAGCTTTATTGGCAATTTACATGCTGTTCAGATGCCTCATAAGGGCTGTGCGCGTGTCTTCCCCCGCGGCGATTTTTTAGGCACGGGTACACACTCCCGGTAGTTGGTGTTGCGTCTCCCCAACGTTGCTTCCAGGCGAATACAGAGGAGTTGAAAAGAGCCCTTGGACATTCGGAAATCTTTGATCCACTGCACATTGGTGTACGTTGGCACCACCTCCCACCAGGCCGATGTTCTATTGTTCACCCAGAGAGAGCGCGGGACACGACGCGTTCCGTAGTATTCGCATATCTGGAACACATACAAAGACACAAATTAGCCCTACATAACTCCATAAATCCTACATTAGATAGTATTAATGTGATTTACTGAACGTACCATTGCTGTTCTTTGGGCGTGATAACGGTCATCATCCTCAGCTGTCCTACGGCGAAACATGTCCATAGCGTCCAATCCTTTTGTTAAGGCTTCTTAACCGCCTTCGCCTCCGACTCAGCATTTCTATTGCATTTGAATGGTCGATCTGTATTTGTATTTGTGGCTGAGTTATTGGCTTAAATAACTCAGTTACGAAGCTGTATAACACGACCACCAAAACGTCAACTCCATACCGTGTCTGAGGTCGGAAGGTAAACAGAAGCATACAGCGGAAGCGGAAGTTTTTTTTCTTCTTCTTCTCTCGGTTTTTTGGCGGATTGCAACTTTAAGGTGCATACCGCCACCTACTGTACTCGCCGTGAAGTTGTTTGCGGCCTGCCAGTAAACCCAAAGCAGAAGAAGAAGAAGTGACGTCAGCGGCTCATTTGCCTAATCCACCCCCAGGAACTCATTTTGGTGTGAACGCGATCTGCTTTAGTTCATCAGAACTAAAAGAGCTCTCATGAACTAAAGTTCTCATGAACTATTGTTGGAAAAGTACTTGGTGTGAACGCGCCTATTGTTAAATTTCTCATAACAGGCTGACACTCACCAGTCTGCCAAGAAGGAGTGCGAAACTGAGAAAGGAGGGAGGAGGCAGAGGGGGGCGGCTGTGGCCCCCGTGACTCCAGAGCTGAAATCAGATTCATGACAGAGGGGTCTGGACCCGAAGTGCTGGCATGGTGGAGGCTGGCATCAAAGAAGCCGGACAGGCCTGGCAACAAATCACAACCGTCACTTTATTCATATATCTCTCACCATCGATCATACCATTATCATATAAACAGTTTAAGAAAAGGTGTCTACTATTTATTTGATTGAGCCCTGTAACAGAGTCATATGAAGATCCCAGTGTTGCAAAGTATAAAAGCACAGAGCAGAGAAGCCATGCCTCTCTGCACCGTCCAAATAATATTATATTCCTATCTGGACAGACATTGCGTAAACCGTTTTAATTGGCGTTTAAAAGATATGAGATTTGAAAAATAAGAGGTTGGGTGATTTTTAAACAAATCTCAAACATACCATACGGTTTCTCCACTATTGTTATTTTTATTCTGGGTTTATACTGAAACATATTTACAAGCTTTAATGTTAATCTTTATTCTTCTCAGTCCTGAATTCACCTTCTTGAATACATTGCACAAATAGACATTTTTATTTCTACAGATATACCTTCTGATGAGTCCTTACCCAGCGTGCGTCCAGCCGCCCCCCAGGCCCCCCCCTGTCTGGAGCTTCCTGGGTGGTGGTTGGTGGCATAGCCCTGGAGGGGGTGGGGGGTGCCATAGGTTTGCCGATGGAGTAGCTCTGAGTCTGGGTGGGATGACCTGGAGCCTCCATACACAAAGCTGAGGAACACATGGTATCATTTTACAAGTCTTTACTTAAAACATGTCTGCTGTCTTATACTCGATCAACCCTGTGACTGGGTTTACAGTTTCCTGCTCCGTTCACCTCTAGCATCTGTAGAATTTGTGCATCCTTTTTTTTTAAAAAGCTGTAGTAATTAGCCGAAGTCTGTTACTAAATAATTGAGTACTAAAACGAATTAAAAATTGGTGACAGAAATGTTTAATGACATGAATATTGATATGCTTTTTCCCACAAAAGGATCAATTAACTCAAAAGTAAAACTGCCGCTGAGGCACCAGATAGTGAATCTTGCGCATGGGAATGATCCAAGTCCAGACAAGAATATCCTTTCGTGCATTTATTTCCATCTGAAGTAAATCTGTACATTGTAACAAAATACAATGTACAGATGTCCTATATATAATTGCCCTGAGCCTCTCTTAAGGCCTCCTTGAGCTTTTCCCTGTGGTAAAAAAAATATATGCCTAGAGGTGTGGACTTGAGTCACATGACTTGGACTCGAGTCAGACTCGAGTCACCAATTTGATGACTTTGGACTCGACTTGACAAAATCACAAAACACTTGCGACTCGACTTGGACTTGACACCAATGACTCGGGACTTGACTTGGACTTGAGCCTTCTGACTTGAGGTGACTTGATATTTTAATTCAGGGGTCTCCAACACGTCGATCGCGAGCTACCGGAAGAAGAGCCGACTCCCGTCGGGGAGAGCCGAATATTCAGCCGCTCCTACTCTAGAGATGGGTGAGTCCTGATTCATCCGGATCATTAACCCGGATCCTGGTCGTGACGAGTCTCCCCTCTCCATTAACCCGAGTCCTTTGAGTCCTACACCTGGTGACGTACAAATTAAAACTATAAATTGCGTCACCAACTATTCTCCTTATAACATGTCAAATCACATTACAACGTACCCCAGTCCATCTGCCTAGCCTTTAACAAATAGGATAGCTGCCAGAAGTTATCGTTTGGCTCAGGGGACGCGGATCAGTGAAACTTCCTCCAGACTTGTGCAGACTCATCATGCACGAGTCAACAGCAGACTCAGATTCGCAAATCCTGACTGACTGAATCAAGGGAACTTCCCTCACTGTGCAAAACATAGCAGAGTCGTGCGGACTCAGAGCCGTAACCGTAGCAGATCCAGAGATCCAGACTCATCATGCACGAGTCAACAGCAGACTCAGATTCGGAGAGCGGAGTGAATGAGTGGATTACTCCACACAGCGAAACAGCAAAGGGTTTCGGACTCCTCATGGTTTTCAGACTCAGTGAGTGTCAGCTCTGTTTGTGATAACGTAGATGCATACTGTGCACAGATAATTTGACGACTTCACCCAGTCAAGTGTAAGAAGCCAAATACTGCAATAAACAAGCATTAAGAAACAAACGTTGTTAGATCATGTTTGTGTAGCGGAGGTTAATTTAACGTTAGTTCAATATGCTCGTGAAATGCAAATCTCAAGTGACAAATTACAAATTACAAATACACACACAGTGGACTGCCGCCCTCACTAGTAGTTCTAAAATTAGAATGTATTTGAAGTTGGAGACTATGTGCTCCTGTTTCACCTGTAGGATTTTTACGCTCTTGGTGATGCTGACTCATATGACTCAAATGATCCGGATCTCTTCAATGACTAACTCAGAAGACCTTGGGTGTTTCTCAATGTCGAGGACGCTTCCTTCGTAGGACATGTCTTCCGAGTCACTTCCTTCAGAAGCTAGGCAAGAATCCTTCCTGGCATTCGGAAAACGAAGAGTGGAACAGGCGAGCAAGTGTGCAGGTGTGCGTCATATGAGAGGCCCCGCCTTAAATTTTCCGCCACAGATATTGGGAAATTGGTCTGTGCGCAAAGCATTGTGGGGATTTTAAGACCGCGGAGGATACACATGTGCAGCCTCGAAATTTCTCGCTACGAAGGACGCCGGGCTCGGTAGAATTCCAAGGAGCCTGGACATTGGAACAGTCCTTTGGCAGGACTCGATGACGTAGCATCCTTGAAATAGTGGCTCTGGAGCAGCCTTCCTTGACATTGAGAAACACCCCTTGAGTCCGTAAAAGGATCCCGATTTGCCATCTCTATCCTATTCTTGATGAGAATCCATGCAGGGAGGGGCGGGACTTTATTTTGCTGGGCCACCATGCGGCCAATCATATGCGAGGACACACTAGGATCATACCATTATGTGAAAGAAGGGTGGGGGCAGACGCTACAAAGACAGCAAGTGTAGTGGTACAGGCCAGCTACACAGAGCGACGGGGAGACGGGGAGCCGGATTTAAATGCAAGCGTGTCGGAAAAAGTCAAGAAATGAGCGAAAACCGAAAAAAGAAGCAGCATCTGGCTGCATGTCAATGATATTGGAGAAAGCAAAGCTGAGTGCAGGTTTCTTTTGGTAACCACTCAGGATTTATTGCCAGAGGTGGGAGAAGTTCAGATCTTGTACTCGAGTAAAAGTACCAGAGTGTAGGAATACTTGGTTACAATAAAAAGTCCCGCATTCAAAATGTTACTCAAGTAAAAGTACAAAAGTATTAGCATCAAAATATACTCCAAGTACCACCTGCAGAGGGATCTAGATTCAGGGGTTCTTTTCCCCATAAAGACCGCCTCGCTGCACATTATCCCTTGCATAAAGATAGATTGTGGGTCCCTTATAACATGCTGTACACAGTGGAAATAAACATTCTGGTCACCTTAACATCAGGGATCTTATACATTATACTCCTTCTGAATCAAACCGTCACAGTAGCCTAACCTTACTGATCCCTCTTAAAATAGAAGAAAACATGGATAAATGGATTATTAAATGATTAATGTGACTAATAAAGAGCAGTTTGATTATTAAGTATTATTTTGTTGATGGATGTCATTACATTTGGTGAAAAGCACATAATGACTTGTTTAAGACTCGGTTTTCAAAATGTAGGACTTAGGCGCCGTTTACACGAGGAGAAAACTGCTTGTATCTGCATAGTTTCGCGTGCGTATAGCCCTATTATTTACACGAGGCCGATAGAAACTGACCCCACAAACAATAACGGGTCCCAAGGTGGATAGATTTGCAAACGAAACGCTCTGGGGGGTCAACCGAGTCCGTGTAATCACCTCTATTATACGAATATTTCCTGAAAAAATAACGATAGCCCCACCTCTCCCCACCTCTCTGCTGAAGCAACTATCAAAAATAGCTGTGTTAATTAAACGCACAAGGGGTTCTTGAATGAAATAATATTATAAAAGGCAAACCAGAATTGTTAACGCCCAATATACTCCTTAAACAAAATAAACAGAGTCAGATTTCATGCATTGATCCATTATATTGACAAAGGAGGATCTCACCCGGTGTTTGTAGAGAATATCTCTCTCTTTCTGAGCCGTCCTCTCCACGGAGACGTGCTTCTTGGCAATATCCACAGATTCGGTTTCTTTCAGTTTCTTTCAGTTTCAGTTTCAGTTTCGGGGCTTAAACAGAAGGGTAGCCATGGCAACATTGCAGCGGGGCTGCTTGGGTTGCTCTTCTTCGCGGCTTTTGGTGTATTTTGGCGGAAGTTACAGCGCCACTTACAGTCCCAGCATATGTACTACAGCGTTTCCAGCGGCCTCGTTTGAACAGACACGTTAAATGAAACAAATGCATGTGAACGGAAGACTTTTTTGAATACGCATACTGTGCATAAACGCAAACGGTCCCGTGTGAGCGGGGCCTTAGACTTGACTTGAACTTGCCCATCCTGACTTGAGACTTACTTGTGACTTGCAAAACAATGACTTGGTCCCACCTCTGCCTACTGGTGCTCTACTTCCACCACCACCTGTTTCCAATATACAATTACACGAAGTCTCCAAATCACCCAGTGCCCAAAGATGCCTTCAAAATAAAAGCATTACAAAAATACTTGAAATAACTTCAATAATAACTCAATACATTTACTATAAACAAAAACAGCAAGAAAAATAAACATTGAACTATTAAATAATATAAGGCAATATATAGCTCCAACTTTCCGGATTCCGGATTCAGTAAACGTTAATGTAAACGTTTTCTCCTGTGCCTCTCCTCTTGAGTGTGTGTCTCAATTGTCTCGTACATTATCTTCTAGATTATAGTGTCTTTGTGAGTTCCCCAACACTCTTGTTTTAAATCCTTTTTCTTCAGAGGTATACAAGTCATTTTTAAAGGACAATAAAGATTGCAAAAAGAAAAGAAGACTTAGGGAAGATAGCTTTTAGATGCGCAGCTCCACTGTCTTGGAATAGTCTGCAATTGAAATGGAAACTGAGCAATCTGGTGCCACTAAATGTTTTTAAAGCTTGGTTGGATGCTACTCAATCGGATGCTGTTGGTACCTGTTCATGTGGATAGTTATGTAAATTGTAATCCCTGAAATGATGCTGTATGATGTCCTTTTTGTTGTTCTGTTTATGTTTCATGTGGAACTCCCTTGAAAAAGAGAGCAATGATCTCAATGGGATACACCTGGATAAATAAAGGTTTGAAATGAAATGAAGAATAAAACAGGCTTTACAGAAAATATGACAGCTACAATATGGATTGATGTATGACGCTCTTGGAGAAACTTTGACCCTTGGAGACAAAACATTCTGCTCATATGGACAAACTGAAAGCTATGAAAGCCTCAAATGTTGGAGTAGTAATAACCTTCCATCAGCAAAAGACATTGACCTGGAACTTTCCGGGAAAACTGCAGCTACTAACGTAAGGCAAGGCAAGGCAAGTTTATTTATATAGCACCTTTCAGCACACGGCAACCCAAAGTGCTTTACAAAATAAAATAAAAGACATTTAAGAATAAATACAGTATTTAAAAACAGGCATTTAAAAAGCAAAGATAATCAAATAAACACAACAGGTATAAAATACATGAGTAAAAGCCATACTGCAGTGTGAATATGAACAACTCACTCAAATGCAGGTTCAAAAATATATGTTTTTAGTCTGGATTTA